TGGCACAGAGTGATGTCGGCTCTGTACAGGGGATACGACTGCTGCTGCAGAGTCAGGGGCAGAGTGATGACAGCAGCGCAGAGCCAGACAGCAGCACAGGTCCAGGCAGCGAAGGCAGGGGTGCGGAAAGAGCGCGAGAAGAAAGGATGCACCACTGCCAGGTACCGATCCACACTGATGCACGTGAGCAGCAGCACTGAGCAGTACATGTTCCCATAGAAGAAAGCTGTGGTGACCCGGCACAGACCTTCCCCAAAGGGCCAGTTGTTCCCAAGGAAGTAGTAGATTATCTTGAAAGGCAGCACAGATATGAGCAGCAGGTCTGCTGCAGCCAGGTTCATCAGGAAGATGGTGGAGGTCAGCTTCTCAGTTCTGGTAGCCAAAACCCAGAGGGCCAGCCCGTTGGAGGGCAGCCCCAGCAGGAAGACGAGGCTGTAGAGGGAGGGGATGAGCAGCACTGTGACCCCACTGCTCAGCTGGGAGCGAGCAGCCTCGTGCAGCAGCAGGTATGTCGTGTTGTCTATCGTGGCCTTTTCGCCGGGGATGGCTCGGGGGCATGGTGTGATCTCTGCCGTTGTTATCTGCTCGCTGGTGCTGTTCTGAGAGTAATCTGTTGGTGTAAATGCAGTCTGTTACTTGCTGCACATGTTAGCAAAGCGGGCTGGTTTCGTGACGCTTACACCAAATTCTAAGGCGCTGCATTTTATTGTTGGGTTCCATTCTGCAAAATGCTGATGGGTCATGGGCAGAAAAAGCAGAGATGGAGTTGGGTGTGCAGCAGTGACCACTGGGGGCTTTACTGCAAGCTGACAAGTCTGTTCTGTGCTCTGCTTCCCACCACTCACAATTGCTATGAAGCTCAGGTACCAGGGGAACAGGGCACAATATCTCTGCCTGGCTCTCAGAGTCCTAAAATCCAGGGACACTCCAGTGCAAAGCTGTGGCTGTGGGAGCTTAATTTTTAGCTGAAGGTTTTGGTTTCAAGTGCTCTGTTTGACTGCTCTGTTTCTGCTTCTTGCCACTTTGTTCTACACTGGTTTTAATTTCCCTTCCATGAGCATTCTCCACCACCTCCTGTTTCAAGTAGAGCATGCATGAATCTCAGTGAGCATTCACTCTCATGATTGTGGAATCATGGAACGGCTCAGGTTGGAAGGGACCTTAAAGATCATACAGTTCCAACCCCGTGCCATGGGCTGGGTGCCCCCCCATCCACAGCGCTGGGCACCTCCAGGGTTGGAGCACCCAGAATAATATTTCATAAATAGGTTCTCAGGGATGTTTTAGAAGTCCCAAACCTCCTGTACTTTAAGAAGCAGTTTTTCCCCCAAAGATGCCCACTCACCATCATAATCTGGTGCTGCCAGGCCCATTCCCCACGCAGCACAGCACAGCGCGAGCCAGGGTGCCAACTGCCCGCTCCTGGAGGTCCCCATGCTGCTGCAGGAGCTGCAGTGCTAGGAGGCAGCTGGGAAAGGCTGTGTGAGTGCCTGTGCTCATGCGTTTCCTCCTCGCAGTCCTTAACACTCGGAAGCACCAGGCTCATCCTGTCACGCATTCCTAGAGCCAGTGTGGTCCCAGCAGAGACGTAGCTGCAGTGTCAGCTGTGAGGTTGGGGGGACGCACGCATCCAGACCCATAGGGATTGTTTGTCAGAGCTCGAGTGACTCATTTGGGTCTCCTCCCTGCTCTGGGCTGTTCTTGAAAATAACACACAGTCACATTTGACACACTCTGAATTTGATTGTGTGTAAACTGCATTGAAACTCCTATGGCCTCCACGTCCAATGGCGTCCTTCTGCTTGAGAGGGATCCGAGCAGCAGTGCGCAGTGCTTGAGGTCCTTTCCCACACTGCTTCAATGCCTTCTATGTCAACCCCGCACACAGCCATGGAGTGCTGGAGGGCCGCAGCCTCCCCGGCTCCTGGGGCTGTGCAGGGCTCTCCCATGGCTTTGGGGACAGTTCAGGGCTTGGGTTCTGTCCCGCAGTCCCTGTGTTGGGTTCAGCCCATCATAGTTCTGTTTCTTTATTTCTAATCCTGCTTCCCTCCCTCCTTGCTCTTGCTGCAGAGGTTAAACAAAGGCCATCTGAAGGAAGCAGCGCCCAGTGCTGTGACGCACACAGATAAGTGCTGAGGTCCTGGCCTGATGGAGATGTGCTGCTTCCGCCGATAGGCAGGGCAAGCTGAGCCGTCCTGCAGGAGAGGGGCTGACGTGGGGACTGTTATCTGCTCGTGCTCTGTGTGCTTGGGCAGATAACAGTGAACTGCAGCCTCTCATGCCCACACAGAGCCGTGTTTTTCCAGAGATGCGCAGCCTCCACCCAACACCCCCCAGGAGAGCAGGCGCTCCATTTGCCACAGCCTGCACAGAGCTGTAGAACGACAGCATGGCTGAAGTGAGAAGTTCCAGCCCCACCACTCTGTGTTCCAACCCTGATGGCTCTGGAGAGCTACATGGTCCCTCCTTCTCCAACTCTTTGGGAGTGTAAGGCCGTTCTGTGCCCTCACACAGCACCATTGGGAAAGTCCCAGTCCTCTCCCACTGCCTCTCTGGGCCCTTTCCAGCAATGAGGGCACAGTGTGGGGTGCTGGGGCTGCCACTCCATGAGGTAAGGATGGAGCTGGAGCCCAGGTAGGAATTGTAAATTTGGTTTGGCATCCTGAGGAGCAGTTCATTCCTGTTTCTTCGCCTCATGAATGGCCTCTTCTGTGAAGACTGCAAATCTGAGCCTGGCTGCTGTTTGAAGAGATTCCTCTATTCCAAGGAGAAAATGATCCTATTTCCTTTGCTTTCACCATATTCCCACATCCCTGCATCGAGAGGTGGGGTTCCGCTGGCAGGGATAGGGAAGATGCAATGTTGGATGTTTTGCTTTTGTGATTCTCTCAGGATTTATGAACCATTACAACATGACTCATGCAGCCACGTATTTTCCATGCCTCAAGTGGGATCCTTTCCATGCTCTGTATGCAAAAAATTAGCCATAATCAGGTGCAGATAGTGTGCAAATCACAGCCCTGCTTCCTACGGATGGGTCTCTGGAGTGGAGCAGGGAGAGGTTATTCACTGCTCTATCCTTCAGTTTTCAGATGCTGTGTGATCTTTAGTGATTGCTTCAGATGCAGAACAGCTTGCTTGAAAATTCTCATGCCAGAGGTTTGTCACAGCTTGTTAACATCTCATTTGCTCCCTTCCCTGTGGGGTAACATTTGGTTTTAAAGCTGCTCGTTGTGCAATAGGTATCTCCTGGGAGAAAGCACTCTTTGCTTCCATTGCCCTGAACCGTGAACACGTAGGACTGGAACACAGGGGAGGGATTTTAGAGCTGTGAGGGAGGTGCAGGCAGCACCTGCCCTGCCCCACATGGTGCCTTTAGGGTCTGACTGATCTGACTTTGGGACTTGGATGCTCTTAACAGGGTTCAGATTCCTGCTCTCTTCCAGCAGCTCAGCTGCAAACCAGCAGGTGTGAAGAGAGAACTCCTGGTGCAGCTGAATCCTGCCCTGGGCTGAGCTCGTGTTCCTGCTGCAGAATGAGAGGCAGCAGCTCGGGGCAGAGCCGGCAGCACGCAGCATTTCCACCGCTGTCAGCAAACCTCACATTTTCCATGAATGCAATGCTGATTTTCCCAGCCACCGGCTGTGCATCGGAGCCTTCTCCAAATCACAGCACAGAAAACCTCCACTGAGCAAGAAATGAGGGCTCTCTCAGCCCGGGTTTGTCCTTGCAGGCTGTGGCACACGGGGGCTGTGGGTGGCACAGGGGCTGCCCTCGTGCATGGGGCACCTCCTACCCTCACCAGCCACCAGCTCACCCTCCTCTCCTTTCTCCACTGTTCAAGTGCTCCCTTCAGCAATTCTTAATGTGATTTATGAAACCGCTCATTATTCCATCCTGCAAACGAGAAGGATCTTGTAAAGCTGTGTATTGCTGAGAGCTCCAGCTGTGTGTGGTGATGTCAGCTGTGCCGTCCCCAGCGCCTTTCACTCCCCCACAGCACAGGGGCCGTTCTTTGTGTTAAGTCCACCATCTCCAAGAGGACACTTTTGTGTAAAATATATGGCATCCTCTGCTACGTCACCACCATCATTTGTATCAAATCATTCGTACCGTTTATTCATCAGAGGATTGTTACGGAGAGAACGGAGGTTTGTTTCCCTGTGAGCAACGCCGTGCTGCACAGAAAGTGGAATCGCCTTTTGTTATGGCAACGGAAGTGTTGAGGATGATGTAAAGGAAACTCCTATCAGATCTGGGTCACAGCACTGCAGCTTAATTTGCAAACTCCACACATCCATTTGTTGCGCAGGGCTCCCAGGGAAGGCGGTTCTGCATGTTATTATTACCCAGGAATTTGGAGAGGCTGAGGGGAAGCCGGGTGGGGGTTATTTCCCTGGTTGCGGTTGTACTGCCTTAACCTGGAGCAGATGTGCTGATGGATTTCGGAACTGGAATCGTGCGCTCCAAGGGCTGTTGTGCAGAGCACACGAGCAGCTGAGGCTGGGCCCAGAGCTCGCTTTTGCACACCTCTCGTGGCAAAGGTGCTGCTAGGAGTGAACCAACACAGAGCTGTGCATTAGCGGCTCTGGGGGCTGTTTTCTTTTGAAATCTATTCCCACAGAGCAACTGTGCCACCTTACGGCCGCCCGTGCTCAGCTGTGTTCCCGCAGCCGTCCTGGCAGCAGTGGGTGCAGAACCAGAGGTGCTGCCTTCCCATGTGGGATCTGCTGCTGTGTGCATGTAGGAAACCTTTCCCTTTCGTATCACAGCGCGCTCATTTAACCACACTGAGGTTAAAGATTCGCTGCCTGCTGGAAGTGGGCTGGCACACAGCTGCACGCAGCTCCTTGTAAGTGCACGAGGGCAGATTCACCCAGCCTTCCAGCTGCATTTTTCTGCCATTGAAAATTCAGTTTCAGGTGCAGGACGGTCAGGTCTGGGGGTCAGCAGAAGGCTTCAGTTAAATCTTAAAACCATTTAAAACAGCGAGACCTGCAGACTTTTAAAATCGGTATTTTATTTGACTTGGATGTGCAAATAAATATAAAAAACAAACTACATTCAAAGAGCTGGCAAAGCAATAATAAGCCCAAAAGCAAAGATCCTTCAAAAAAATGGAAGAACAAACTCTTGAATCGAGGTCGTGCTTGCAGATACACAACAGCTGAGCTTCAACTCTCAGACATCAGCAAAGCACCCTCAGACCTGTGCTGCCCACTCATCCCATCTCTTCACATCATTTGCTACCACTGTTTTTGAGATAACAGCACTACGAAGGGCCACAGTCTGCTGTAATCCATTCAAGATTATAAATTAAAGTTTACAAAATAAGGATGCTTAAAAATACCTGAAGTACACTTAAAAATGGGGAGATGGAACAGGATGGCACACAGGTGTGTTACCCTCATACGCTGTGGGACACCTGGAATCAAACGCATTTTAAGCCACAAGTTGCAACCTATTGTCTAGTAAACATTTTTCTGTATCGTAAAACCATAAAATTTGGCACAGTTATCATCTCCACTGGAAGACAGCAGAGGTGAACAGGACTGAGGCGTATTCTGTTGAGCTGACAGGAAGAAAAAGGGATTCTGTGCTTTGCACTGGGCTCAATCCCCTCTCCACCTCGCTCTCCCATAGCTATGTGGGCAGGGGAAGAACCTCCACAGCTCATTTCAGTAACAGAATTCAACAGACACTCAGACAATGAGAACATGAGTTCTTGAGGAGAAGTTCTGCACTGGCAGCGGTTGTGCAAGTGGCCACAAATGCCAAAGACTGGCCTCCTTCATTCCCTCCCGCAGATTAATTTGCAAAAAAGACAAAGAGTCAGTACAGTTTCGTATTAAATGTACCCCAAAGGCCAATTTTTCTACGGTCAAGTGAGACAATTGCAAAACCCAACGCTGTACAGTGGAAATAACCCAGGACAAATCCTACAGGCTGCTATTTAGGTTTGGCAGAAAGGATAACCTAAAATCAAAGCCACGAAAAAAGGATCCAGGTTGGGGGGTTACTCCCTTAATAGCCATGAAAAGCGGGAGGTTGAGCTGAAGGAGGCTGGATCTGCCTCAACACATTACGTCTGTCATATGCTCCGTGACAGAATGCTTGCCTTTGGCCCCAAAAAACAACAGCAAAGTCACAGCGGGGCTGCAGGACAGACAGAGCTGAATTTCCTTTTTTTCAGTCAGTTGGTGCAGTTTTCTGTATGGTTTGGGTTATGTTTTCTTTTGCTTCTATTCAAAGAAACTTGGGTAGAAGAAAAGATGGTTTGGTGGAAAAGCTTCAGCGGTTGTGGCTGGATCTAATCCTCCCCGTTACAGACTTCCATGTGTCACTGCAAACACAGCATCTGTGCTGACCTAGCAGAACAGCGGCGTATCTGGGACAAAACTTCAGATCCAGAGCAAACGCTGTGCTGCAAGAGCTCCATCTACTGCCGTTATTTAAGTGGTACAACCCAGCAGAACCGCAGTCTGGGCACACACAAGGAAGAGTACGCAGTCTCCAGAGGCTGCCAGTCAGCATGCAAAATACCAAAAATAATCAGAGCAGACCTCGCACTGGATATTTTTCTCCACACACACACTCCAAGCAGCTTCAGATCTGAGACAGCAGTCTGCAGCAGGTCACAAATCCTCAAAGCAGTGAGATGGGCTCTGCGGGCAGGTGGGCCATGGGCCTCGGCTCTTCTCCCCAGCACTGCAGCTCACAGGGTTTCTTCCCCTTAGTTCATGCTCCAGAATACTCAGTTGGTGAGCAGGAGTTAAGAGTGGTCAGTATGCTGTTCACCTCTGCCTCAGTTTCGACATTTTCTCACCAGAGCACCAGTAACAAACACTGCATCTGTTGCCTTATTAATACACGCAGATAAGGAAGCAGCCTGCAGCAAGGCTGGCAATCAGTGCCACGCTGGCACTTGGAGGTTATATTGAAGAGTTCTGCAGGCTCCAAGACGGCACAAATTCAGGACGATAGGGCACATTAAACTTTTCAAAGTGGAAGCAGCTGCCAGCATTTGCCAAGCACCAGCCAACTCCTGTCCAACAAAGCCACCAGTGGCAGATCGCCAGGAGCCTGGCCCACTTGTTCTGCTTTCCTGTATTGGCCGGTCAGCAGTGGCCTAAAGCTAGGAAACTACTAAAAAGTGTGGCAATGCCAAGAGCCCTCTTCCTTAAAGCTGTTAAGTCTCTTCATGATGACTGGAGGATTACACTGCAAGGAGACAAGTCTATGCCGTATGGAAAATACGTTATAATCCAAAGTAAAATGCTGTTTGGATAAATACCATTAATACATACATTGCATTCCCACCACTATTCTCAGAGTACATGTGTTTCACCAGCAAGTCCCAGGCACAAATCTCCTCATGGCGAAGCTGGACGGCGGCTGTACTGCACTCTGTATCTGTTCACAGGGACTCCATGGACATTCACTGTCTCACAGGTTGTTTTACAGGGCACCATCTCCTCATCTTCGTCTCCCATTAGCCAATCTTGAACAACATCTACTGCCTCCATGGTCACATTCTCTTCTAGCCATCTGTTGTGCCACTCTTCAAACTGCTGGTGGTGCTTTAACAGCACCATTGGCTGTACCTGAAAGCAGAAAAGTAAAAAAAAAAAATTACTGAGAGGTTTCTGGGCAGGAAGTCAAAACTTTCACCTCTTTGTATGTCCACAACAGGCAAGCTCTACAACACAACACAAACAGAAAAGCCACACAGCTGCCTTTAAAGGTCTCTATTTCTTAATGTTTGCAACTCCCCTTTAAAATTTGCAAAGTAAAAACTGCTGAGCTAAACTAAAACACAGAATGTTTCCCATCTCTTTTCCTTGATTCATCCAACACAGAGGAGTAACTTCTGGGTGGATTTTGCAGAAATTCAGCCAAAGACTTCCTACCAATATCTGTCTTTTGGCTGAAATCTTCTACCTCTGCAATTGCCTAAGCTACTGAGAGAGTAACAGGAGATGCACCTGCTTGGCTCGGCACAGCGCTCCCCGCCTGTACATGTAATCCTCCGAGTTCATGATGAACATCATTTTGTGGGTGTTGAGCTTGAACCGGCAGTCCACGTTGCACGCGCTCTCGACGCCAATCAGCCTCTTCCAGGAGCTCTTCACCTCACTCCGCAGAGCTCTCACTTGCTTACATTGCCACTTACGAAATTTTTTTAGGTTTCTAGAACAAAACAAAGATCATGAAGCATTTGTCACACGTGTTTACCCACTCTCTCAAGCTGGTAGAGCCGACAGCAAAGTATGAACTGTATGTTTTAGTTTTCAGACTCTCAGCAAATAGTTACTGAAATGGAAACAAACAAATTAGACCTCAGATTCCCCCCAGAAAGGACTGCTTAGGCAGCCCCACTCCATCATAAACACACCTCAGTGCAGCGGTCATTAACTTTTTCTTCAGCATTCTTGCACAGCACACTGAACTCCAGCAGTCCCTCTGGACCTCAGAGACGAGTGCATTTCCCTAGAAATGCCTGTGCTGCACATCACCTACAATCACTGCCACACAGTCAGAGGAAGCAGGACCAGCTGCCCCAGATATGACTCAGGAGAGGGAGGGAGCTCACCTTTGCAGAAAAACTGGTTTCAGTAAGAAGCCATCATTCTGGTTGTTTGGAACTCCTTCCACCCCAACGTACTGCTCCATGTAGTTAGCAAGGTGCTGCAAGAGATCAATTTCATGTCAAGACTTCTCTCAAGTTAAACACTGCTGCAAAGGTCTAGTTTATTTCCAGATGCTCTTCAAGAAGCTGCTGGTACCTCACCCAACCCCAAGATGATTTATGTTGGAACTGTTTCATTGACATACACATTTCTGTCAATGGCCATACCCTCCCAGATAAGCTTATCCTCCTGGCAAAAAATCATATTTGGGATCAAGAAAGTTGGAAAGCATTCTTAGATATCTGCTTTGTCTGGGTACAGCAGACTGCATGGTCACCATACTATTACCTGGACCTCCACCGGATCTTCTGTTTGGGTTTCTTCTGTATCCAGGAGTTCAATGGTCATGATCACCTGGCCTTTCCTCTGTAGAAACATTACCTGTAATAAAGTGACAGGTGAAAGATGTTGGCCACATGAGTCCACAATAAAGTGATGGATATTCACAAGTCATTTGGACAACAAATACATGATCAGGAGAGGCGCAAGCAATAAGGCTTTTCAGTGAGTCAATACGCCACCTTACTGCCTGTGCTGTTTTTGGTACCCCTCTCTCCATATTGTGGCCTTGGAGCTTTCAAACCCACTTCTCCCAGGTGAAGTGGCACAGTCACTTTATGAAATTTCCTGGCAGCAGGTTCTCACCTTGAAACAGTTCTCATCTGCCATGCAACGTTCAGCCTTCCACTGATAACTGGTTTCCTTTGCTGCCCGGACACACCTAGAGGACAGGTTACCTCCAGCAGCACCTCGCTTCCTCTCGTTCAGGTAGAGCTCAACAACCTTCAAGCAGATGTCGTCGCTCACTAAATGGTGAAGCTTCCATTAAAAACAAGAGAATTCAGTTAACAAGTCTGGGCCAAGACTTCAGCGTCTTATGAAAGGAATACAAAACTCAGCATAGCACCACACAAACTATCAAAGTTTTAACTCCAGAGACTTTATACCCTTTATTTCCCCTTTCATTACAATATAAGGAAAAAAAAGAGAGTAAGGAGCTAAAGTGCCTAACTTCACAAAAAAAAACAACAACAAAAACTTCACAAAAACAACAACCCTACAATTAGAAGACAGATATTGCATAGAAAGGACGGAGCCTTTCTTTAGCCTTTGATTTATCTTGGAAATGGCAGAATTTTGAACTCTGGAACTGAAGAAGTGTTGGAAAAGGCCAGGAAGAGTCAGTCCCCTGAGGTGGTCCCTGTACTGTACTTGGTACTGAACTATCTCACTGAACTTGTATTAAGCCCTTTCCACCACAAATTTAACTTCTATATATTTGCTGAAAGTTTTATGCGTTCTTGCATTACAGGTGCTGTAAGAAAGCTATTTGTCCATAGAAGGGAAACGTGCTGTCCCCCACAGAGCACAGCCATCAAACTAGTTACCTGGCGGACAATATTCTGCACCAGTTTGTCCATAGTAAAGCCAATGTAGGCGTGGATGGTGAACATCTCCCTCAGTGTGTCCTCGTACTGCGTTGGGTCAATGTTCCCATCCAGCAGGCTCCTCACCATATCCAGGAACGCAGGGTAGTACTCCTCCAGTTCCACTTCACCTGGTCAGAGGAAAAGGGCAGTCACCTACTACATGCAAGAGGCAGAGTGAGTCAGGAGGTGTACAGGACAGCACTGCTGGAGAGCTGTGACATTCAGTGCTGGAACACCTTTGCAGAGTTCTCTCTCAAGAGTGCTGACAGACTGAAACAGTTTTTCCTCAAGCTCTTCTGCCATGCTTTGAGTGGTGAATTGTTTCATCAGAGAGCCATTCACATTTTAAAACTAAATAACACTTTAATACAAGACACTTCGGGAACGTTTGACAGCTGTGCACTTGTGGGAAGATTTTCTGAACTATGCATGAAAGCACTCAAAAGGACAAATGACAAACAAGCTGTCCTGTCAACTCAGCCGTATCCATGAACTGCAAACAGAGCAGAGGTTTGGACCTCTACATTCCCTGCCTGCTGCTCTCAGTTCCCCAGACACATACAACCAGAACATTAACAATGCACCACGTCAGAGCGTATTCTTACTTGGTTGCTTCAGTCTGAGCTCCATGGCTGGATCATTGGTCTTTTCTTTTCTCCCCTCACAAAGGAGTTTCTCCCTCTCTTTTTCAGTCCGATATTCTAGGAGCTGCTTCTGCGCTTGACGATAAATCTTTAGGAGCCTCGAGCACAGAGTCTGATGAAGGCGGAGGAAGAAATACCAATTATTATTGACAAAGAACAGACTGTAAACATCATCCAGAGTGTTATGGGGCTCAGCAGCTGTAACATCACAGAAGGTTGCTTTTGTCTCCAAAGGACTGCTTGGAGGCCCAGGCACATGCTTTTTCCGTAGCTCTGGAGTATCCAGGTTCTGCCCCTGATGGTTTTCTCTGTCTTCATCTGTTGATTCTTCAGAAATACTGTGTTCAGGGGGCTGAGAGAAAAACAGCTCGGGTATGAAGTGGTGCACTATCTGCTGAATGGTTGCTTGATCCTCCTTCTGGATGGTAGGCTGACGTTTTACGTAATAGCTGATAAGAGATGCTGCGTCTTCCAAAATCTGCTTATCTTCGTAGATAAAGATAAGATGAGGCTCATTTGTGGATGAACTTCTCCCCTCTGAATGCTGCTCCTGATGCTGTAATCAAGAGACAAATAGATAAAGATGCTTCCACTGCATGCTCAAGAGCCACTCCTGCCAGAAGAAATAAGCCAGGATTAACACTCTGCTTGGGACAGCCATTTTTGACTGAGAACAATTCAGAGCACCTCAAGCTGATCCCAGGCATGGAGCAAACCTTCAGACAATGGCATAAATGAACAACAAACAGAATTAATTATTTGCTAACATACATACCTCATCATAGACACTCTCAATTTCATTCAACAAGCTCTTGGAGCGCAAAGCCTTGGTGTCATTTTGTTTGAAGTTGACAGCCTGGTGGTCAAGGGACTTCAGGTAGGCTTTCTCGTACTGCTCACGCCAAATTTTGTTGAAGCCCTGCTGGGCCTCCCGCCACTCCTCCTCTTTTGCTTTCAATCTGCATAAATGTACAATGTTAGTTTGAGAAGACATACATAAAAGCACCATCACTGCAGATAAGCTATCCTTTCTAACAGTGTCTACAGGAAGCAGTTGTTTAAAAATGCTTGGGAGGAAGACTAGAGAACTACAACAATTTCCAACACCTTGACCTTTCACTGGAGATCATCGCACAGAACCTTTCAGCACTGCAAAGAGAATTTTTTTAGTTAAAAAAAAGATGGCTAAAGTACTCAGAAACATCAAACCAGCTACCAGCAGTACAACAAGTAGGGAGGACTTAAAACTCATACTTCACTCCCAAACCAACCTAAAAAATGTTTGTTTTTTAAGCACAGTCCAAGAAATCTAAATACAGAGAGAAGCATTTTCAGTAAGCTACTGAAATATTTTAGATACTTCCAATGAGCTGCTAAAATATTTGTCACTTCAGAAGTAAACAAGATCTACTTTATTTCCTATTTCTGTACATTATAATCTAAGAAGTAAAAACCAAGTTACTTACTGGGGAAAAAAAAGGAAAAAATACACATAAAAACGACCTTTACAATCCTGTTTCTTAAAGATCCCAGGTGAGCGTGGGAGAATGGGAATTACCTCTTAAGAACAACTGGAACTGCAGTAACTGGGTTTTTCTTCAGACTTTCAATGATCTCTGGTGCTTTATCACCATAGATGCGATAGATGGCCCTGCGCTGGATCACCTCTGATGTTCCTCCCAAGCAATCATCCAGCCGAAATTTTTCCTGATCCTCTTGAGTGAGACGAGAAAGCTTTTTCTGCACACTCTCCAGCACACGTATTGTGGCTAAATTGGTCTCCAAGACAACATCCAGCTGTTGAAGAGTCCACAAAGACACAGTTTAAGAATGCTGACAGCAGGAAAATAGAGATGAGCTCAGGTCTGCTGCCCGCTGGGTGGAGCTAAGAAGCATCAGCAAGGCTTCTTACTGGAAAACAGACCTGCGTCAGTTCTCCAAAGGCAACATACTTTCCAGAACTGGACTCATGCCTAAAAGAACTATTAGACTCTAAGCGAGTGGGAAAACACCAAACTCTAGCTCAAACTAATGAGCACTAATCAAACTTCCAGTATTTGGCCAATGATTAGTTCAGTAAAAATCCTCAACAGCTAGAAGTTTTGTTTTCTGAGGAGGGAGAATGGAAGCTGAGCAGCAGAGGTACCTCAAACCGCTCATCCTCACAGCGGTGCAACTGTTCCTCATAAGGAGTCTTCTTGGAGCTGACAAAAGTTGAGTCTTCAGACCAGGATGGAAATGAAACCCAGGTATCATTTAACACCTGCAAGAGTGCAAAGATATGACGCTGAACAATGCCTTAGGAGCCCAGAGCTGTTCAAGGAGCTCTGATACTGCGCTGTTTGATTCTTGCACAGTTCATCCTTGAGTTTCTCCTGGAAGTTTTAGCCTAGCTAACACTGTCATGACTACTCCTAAATAATTAAAGGTCTGTGTAGAAATGCATCAGAGTTCAGAAGCAGCTTCACTATCTTCTCTCAAAGCAGAGATCATTGCAGCAAAGGGGACAACAGGGAGCAGTGGGAGTAGATGTCTGCTCCCAGGGACAGCAGTGCCTACAACATTGGCTCACAGTGCTCTTTCAGGAGAAACACTGCTTCCAAAAGTTAGTCCACTGCTAGAGAAATAACTTCTGTCCTTCAATGCTCTTTTCTATCTATACAAATAGCGTATGCACACACACTCAAATGAGATTAAACTGAAAGAAGTGACGAGATGTGTTTAGATAAACTGAGTGAGCTGAATGTGGATACCCTTATTTCAATGGATTGGATGAATAACTGATACTGAAGAGGGACAGTCAGAGTTAGAGGGAGGAATCCACGTGCAGCAGCTGTACTACTGCCTGCCCCATTTCAAGTTACATAAGTACAATGTTTGTACAGGGATTTAGTGGTTGATCCCAAAGTACCTCCTTGCAAATGGCTGTTCTTCCACTGCACTTTGGCTGCTGGTAGGTTTTTGGGAGGGCACGGTAACTCGATCCAATGCGTTTGCAGGAAGCATAATCTATTTCCCGGCTCATTCCATCCCCAGATCGGTCACTCAGTGGAGAAGCAAACGAAAGCTCTTTCACACCAAGGAAGGACTTGAACTGTGCAAACAGCTCTGGAAATTTCCTTCAAAAACACAAATAAGCATGACCTGTGTTATTTCATTCTGATGGTTTTAGGGTGGCTAATACTCATCATGAAAGTGAGAAATCTAAAGAAACTCCTCCCCAAAATGCTCCTCAAGAGCTGTGTAGATATGTTAACGATTCCAGTTTTACTATTTCTCTTTGTGAATTAGCTCTGCATTGCTGGCATGCTACCTAGAAGGTATTTCTGATGTTGAATTCAAAGCTTCAGTGCCAAAGTTCACAGCGCCTACCAAAAATTAACAGAGCAAGGCTAAAAAAGGCCAATGCAGCAGAGATGGCAATCAGTAACTCACCCTAAAAATGGCGTAACTAGCTGGAGCAGCTCAGAGCCAGAGACCAACTCCTGGTTGAAGAGAGCAATGCAGCGGAGAAAATTTTCGTAGACCTCCTGACTTTTGAGCACTCTGCGCACCTACAGACAGTTTGGAAAGAAATCACCGAACCACGTGGATGCCACTTTTAATTACTGTTCATATTCTAAGGAGTCTGAACCACAGGAGACCAACCTCTATTTGCATTGCAACATAAAAAGAGAACATTCCCCAACAGTCTCAGTTTCAAACAATAGTTCAGTGGCTACATACAGTTACTATGAGGAAATACTGCTGAAAAGCACAGAAAAACATCCGTGTTAGAGACAAGCATTCAGGAAAAGGTTAATGATCAGCTTCCATTCTTCCAAACCCATCTATTTTCTTTTTTCTTGGTCTGCCCTCCCTCTGCCACTTGAAGTCAGGCAATTGCTAAGTGCTGACGCACAGATTAAATAAAAAATGAACCAAATAATAACCCCACTGGTTTAAAGTAAGCCCACAGTGTGAGAACGGGCCAAGCACTGACCTTGTCAAAGAATGAAAACTCCTGCAGCGTTCCATATTTTCCCACTGTTGCTACTGACAGATCTTTGGTACCTCTCAGTTTCATTTTCTTCTGTTAAAAGAACAATTATATATATATATATGTCATTCAAATGCTATCAAACTCCACTTTGCTGACACAGAACAGCTCTCTGCAAAGACTGATCATCGTTATTTCCCAAAGAGCAATCTAGCATTGCTGTGCCAAGTCCTCCACAGCAATTTCTACCAGATGGCTCCTGGCTAAGGAGGAGGATCGCTTCAGGAACAATTCCAAAGGTTCCTTTAAAGAAGCAATGAATTTGCCCTTCTGGGGACCAATATTCTGCATCTAAGGGCTTGATACTCGCATACAACATGCTACCGTATACATTTTAGAATTCTGAAAATTGCTTTCCTTGCAGATTATTATTTATAAAATAGTTTTGATTTTTTTTTTCCTTGTACCTAACCTACATACTTCAAAGTCACCACTCATTACAACTTCACCCAAGGAATTACATAAACAAAATGAGTAATGTGAGGTCACTTGCAGAGAGATACCTTTGCTGGGCCAGAAACAGGACGCAACAGCAGCGGTCTGGATCGCTTTTTGCTGTGTTCAAGATTCTTCTCATGCTCAGTTTTCTGGACACTGTTCACTTCACATGGTCCATTTCCTGTGAACTGAAGAAAATGAACAATTGTTTCAATGCTCTCTCCTCAGCCCGTACAAATATCCTGCTTATCTGAACAGAGAGCATGTAATTAAGTGACCTGTTTTGTGAAATTCCAAGCAGTGAAGAGAAGTGAATTTCATCTACTGGCTGTGTGTTTTTCTGTAATGCATTCTACATATAAACAGGCAGCATTAAATATTCTCCTTGCTTTAAGCATACACATACCAAAGACCTTTTAGCCTCTGGAAGAAACTGTCCAAACTCAGAGAGCAGATCCTCCTGTCCTCTGAACAGATTTGCTACTTCAGTAAACACTTCTTCCTCTGACATGCCCCGGAAGGGTCGACCTTTAGTGTTAAGCTGTTCTTTCTGAAAAGATAAGCACAGATGTTAAACAGATACAAACACAAAACTCACAGCAGAAAAAAAAAAAAAAAAAAGCAACACGAACTTCATATAACTATCAGACAGTCCAAGGCTTCTATCACACAGGATATCACAACATCAGCTGAAAGTCAGTGAAGACAGATCCACATACAACCCCTTAGCACCTCAGTGCCCAGGACGTTCAACAGTTTTCACACTTCTGTCATTTCATATGAGTATCTTTGAGGCAGCTGTTGGACAAAGCCTGACGTTTCATTTGATAGCTGTTCAAGCAGCCACACCACAAACCCACAATCTACCTTACTTTGAAGGCTTTTTACCTGGTAAGTATGAAGAATTTCTAAAAAGGATCTGTAAATTTCTGGGTGGTCAAGGAAGCGAGTTTTGATCTTATTCACGTAACTGATGGCGTTATTGAACTCTACAGAATCAGACTCCAAAGGAATTTGGGATTTGTCTTCTTTGTATGGAAGCTGATGCCTGAACTCCTCGGTGCAGTCACTGTGGTTGTGTGTATTCTCCTGTGAGTAATGCAACAACAGCCCGCTGCCAGGGAGAGCACTGGGAACAGCCTCTGAGGGCACCTAGTGGCATAAGACATACAAGACAGTGACTCGTGCTGAAACACAGGTGCAACTCCATCCTAGCGTCAATATTTTAAATCTGTTTAGCTAAAAGAGATTACCACGTGAAGAAATAAGGGGGAAAAAAGATTTAATTTGATAATACATTTCCTTACCTACGTTATTAACACCACGAGTTAAAAAACAAACAAACCCATAAGCCATGTCTGACTTGGTAAACAATCTGACTCATTGCTGCTTATGACTGTCCCTGCATTATCCACACTTGAGAGGTTGTACCAGGTAACGTGTGCTGCAGTTTCTGTTACCACTGTTCTATTTCAGAGGAACTGTCAGTTTTAAGAAACATATTAAAATGTAAGGCTCCAAGAAGCAAAATTTGTAAGCAACAGAGAGATCTAAAAGATATGTACTGCTACTAATTAGCATTAAACCACAACTTTATCGGCAGAATTCAGCTATAGCTCTATTTCAGCCTCCACAACCACACATAACACAATAACAACAAAAGGAAGAGGCCAATATTTATCCAACAGCAGATGTCTCCCACTGCAGGATGGTAGCGATTGCATGGCAACACCTCACATGCATTCAGGCAATGGACAAAAAATGAACCAAATAATAACCACACTGGTGGTTTAAAGTAAGCCCACAGTGTGAGAACCAATGTGTGAGGCCAAATACATTTCTCAGTTGCTCACTGAAGACTTGAAGTACAATTCTCCCAGGATGTCTTTTTAGACGTAGGGACATTGAGAGTCTGTGCAACAGTCCAAGCCAATTAAAACCTCAGTTTTCAAATCTGACGGGAGTATTTGGAGTTGCAGTAGCACTTCATGCAGGAACATCGCTCCAGTGCAAGCTGAGCTAATAACTGGTTTGAGAATAAACGTTCAAATTTACACTGTAGCCATTACCACATCTTAAAAACTACGTCAGAACTTTAGCAGTGTGCAATACATGCAAACGTACACAGCCTAAACTGTGCAGGTGTATGGGAACTGCTGAGTCACGGCCTGAACCCCTGATTGATCACCTGAGGCGAGCCGTGAGTCAGCCAGAGGAGCACAGGTGAAGGCAATTCAATTCACCTGTGCTGCCGGAAGGGGTGGAGCCAGGCTGCACCTCTCCTAGACCTACTGGCTGCCAGTGGGGAAGGATCTTGTCTGGAGATCCCTCCTTCTGGTGTTCTGTGGTGAGCTCAGCATAAGGGTAAGCCTTCCATTTATTCTCTCTTGTTATCATAGTCCACTTCGCCTAACTCTCTTGTTTATTTTGTGATTGTAACATCTTGATATCCCTTGATTATACAGCAGGAGATGTGCGCAGCAATATATTAACAGGATTTATTTGGGGTACTATGAGCTTTATAACCTACCTGACTAGTCAGTGGTGACTGTATACTTAGCTTCCCATTCTTTGGAATTTCTATTCTGTATCCCAGAGGGAGGAAAGCATTGAATCCTACAATGAGGTCGGGGTGTTCATGGAACAGCTGTGAAACGCGTCGGATGACTCCGGGTGTGTCAATGCTAAAATCGAGAAGAATTTGTTACTTGTGCCTACATCAGAAATACAACTTAAGCCCAGAAAAGTACAGAGGTAGGTGAGGCATGTGGCTTCTCACAGATAGCATTCTCAACAAGAAAGTCTGGGAACTTCAGACCTAGGAACAGGCCCAGGCAGAGGGAAGGACCACCACCCACTGCAGCCTCCCACTAGGAGTGTTCTCCAGAGAGAAGAACGTACAGGTTGCCCAAAGTGGGCACCGCACAAGGGCTGAGAGCTCTCAGCAACAAAAGTCTTCATCTGTTTTTCCAGATCTGTGTTTCAGAGCGGGATATTAAAAAAAAAAAAAACAGATCATTCTTTTCCCGTGGATTTCTGCTCTGGAAAACAAGGAAGCGGGCAGCAGTGGGATGAACGCCTCCTCCCTCATCTCCAGCGTGTAACAACTGGGCCAGTAGGGACAGCAGAACCTCGGGGTGAAGGCTGGGGAAGTCCCAGGGCAGAGACGGCCCCGGGCCGGGCATTACCTCTGGCTTTTGAACTCCTTCATGATCTCCAGGAAGCCGTTGTAGGTGGCCGGGTCGCTGCCGAAGCGGATCTTCACCTGGTCCAGGTAGGAGAGCGCATCCTCCACCTGCGGGCGGGACGCTGCTGAGGGCCGGGGCGCGGCGGGGCCCCACAGCTGATACCGCGACGAGAGCACCGGGGAGACGGGACAGATCCCGGGGGAACGGCGCGGTGCCGGGGGGGGCTGAGGGAACGGATGGAGGGCCGGGGGGCCGCGGTAACGGGGCCGGGGAACGGGGGAGGAAGGCGGGGGCGCCCCGCGGCCCCGGGGGCGGGTTCGGCAAAGAGCCGGGGCGGG